CTACTTTCGTCAAGCAACAATGGGGAATTTTATTTACATTGAAGTTACATTTTACAGTTTTATTTGGGACTAGTAACTGGGGAACATTTCATGTATTATTATTATTGTTGGTGATGTTATAACAAATAAACCCATAAGAGTCTACTTTCGTCAAGCAACAATGGGGAATTTTATTTACATTGAAGTTACATTTTACAGTTTTATTTGGGACTAGTAACTGGGGAACATTTCATGTATTATTATTATTGTTGGTGATGTTATAACAAATAAACCCATAAGAGGCTACTTTCGTCAAGCAACAATGGGGAATTTTATTTACATTGAAGTTACATTTTACAGTTTTATTTGGGACTAGTAACTGGGGAACATTTCATGTATTATTATTATTGTTGGTGATGTTATAACAAATAAACCCATAAGAGTCTACTTTCGTCAAGCAACAATGGGGAATTTTATTTACATTGAAGTTACATTTTACAGTTTTATTTGGGACTAGTAACTGGGGAACATTTCATGTATTAGTTTTTATTTTTTTATGTTAGACTTTTTTAAGCCCAAGGAATCCCAGAGTCAACATTATAACACATAGTTATTAGATATACATACAAGAAAATTACAAAATAAATATTATTATGCATAGTGCGTGATAAGCTATATTCTTATTTTTATTTTCGAGAATCTCTTCACAAAAGGCTATCTGCATATAAGCGTCCCTACTTCTGAGCTGGTATTAGAAGGAAGAGAGACAGTCAACAGCACAAACCTCCAGCTCTTTGACTACTCTTGTCTTGTGGGATTTGACAGTCACTTTCATAACGCATCCGCGGTTTTAAAGTGTGGAACAGGTTTGTGCCGCAAACCACGAACCCTCGGATTCACAGTCCGGGAAGTTTTATTCGGATCCTCAAATATCAAGCACATTTACAAGCGTTCCATTTCAAGTTTAAAATTAAGATAAATAAATAAATTAAACCTTCAATGAATGAGAAACCAGTAATCGCTTACCTGAACACTTCATTAGTTTGTCGAAAGATTTTCCCCAACATCGGATTTCCTCTAAGGTCGGGCTAGGAATAAGAGTATTTTTATTTACACAAACTTACAATTAAGCAAATAATATACTAACAACTGGTTTCTATAGTCCGTTGTTATTTTACAGTGGGAGTCTGTGTTAACGTGTCTTCCGAACTGTTACATAGTAACCCTGAGGAAGTTCAACACCAAGCCGAGTCTGGCTCTTCAAGCTATAACTTCGTTCAGCACCATACACCTCGTTAGAAATTTATTCAAGTGTGATACTACATTAAAGAAAACTCTCGGTGAAACTAATTAGTTTTTCTCAGTGCAAACTATATTACTGTATAAAAAATTTCAATGGCTATCTTTTCTGCAATCAACTGGTCTAGAAAAATCATTAGTTTCAGGTAGTCAAGTAAAAAAATATTGGAAAATTATAAACTAAAATACCTTAGCGTGTTATCTGACTCATTTGAATTTTTTTTATATAACTCTCATATTTTGTTATTATATTCGGATGTACATACTTGGTTAGAAATCTTTCATTTTATAGATCTAATGATGTTTTTTAGTTTAATGAGTAGGAACAAAGAAAATCACAAGAAGGTGAACTAAACAACTTATTATCGTTGAAGATACGAAGATGATTTCAACAGTTTTAGAAAAAAAAAACACTTTGTTTTTTATAGTTTGTGAGCCTCAAATTCAAAAATAATTTAAAATTGTCATTATTTGAAATCTTTTGAGCTTATGTCCAAGTATCAATAACTTAATGATGACACTGGAAATAACCTTAAAATCCAGTCTTCAAAACAATCCCCTTCAATAATTCTCTATCATTTCCAACTTAAAACAGTTCATTATTACACTGTAGACAATCCAGTAGTTTATGTAAAATGAACAAAATTCTTCCAAGACAATTCCTTCTAATATGTTGTACATGAAAAAATTCTCCTCTTCTTAAACAATTCGTAGAAAATCTTCGTATTTAGAATATCTCATCTTCTCTGATATTCAAATATTTATGTATACCGATCACTGGTTGTAAAAGTCACTCTAGATTTTTCAGTATGGTTTCACCTTTCATGTTATTTTAAGGAGTGTGATATTTTCCATTTTATTGGCAGTAATTTTGACTTTAAACATTTTAAGCCTCGAATTGGCCTGAAATACAATCATGAGCGCTGAAAACAGTTGCTGTGTGCTATATAAGTACAACAGCCATGGTCATGTGACTTACTAGTTTACAATTTAAAAAAATCACGCCATCTACATACTTTCTGATTTTCTAACCCTTCATTCTTATTTAAGATTAAGTTGTTTTTGCTGTGTTTCTTTCAATGGTTTCTCTAATACTTCTACCAGTTATATTATTTGGTTGAGCCAAAATAACCATTATAATTTACATGTTTAACTAATGCAAAGTTTTCACTTTTGTTTTTAACATTTCTCTTATGTTTATTTATTCTAAATTTAAAGTTTTTTCTTCTAATTTGACCAATGTATGCACGACCACATTTACATTGAACTTTAAATATACGCGCTTTCTTAATTAGATTTATTTAATCTTTAGTTTTACTCAATATTTGACTAATTTTATTCAATGGTTTCTAAATGACAATAAAATTTTTTGTTTTGTATTTTGAATTTATGAAAAATTTGATGTGATAAACCTGGGATATATAGTTA